GCCTCACTTCGCCCGATGCATCACTTCAACGGGACCTCCGCCAACGCCTGCCAACGCCCGCCAACGCCCGCCATCGCGCTGTCGCGCCAAGGTTAGTGGGTTAGTAGTAGGAGAGAGAGAGAGAGAGAGAGAGAGAGAGAGAGAGAGAGAGAGAGAGAGAGAGAGAGAGAGAGAGATCCGTCGGCGAAGTTGGTGGTGCATAGAAGGATAATTATGTGTGAAGATGAGCGCATAATGTTGCGCATTGTGGTCCCGGCAAGCGGCCCGTGGTTGGGAGAGGAAGCCATGCGAACTCCTCGGACGTGAGCGGGTCCAATACCTCTATGTTGAACTCGCGCACGGAATCCCGTGAAGAACCACTTGAAGACGATAAGTCACCGCCGCCGGACGGAGAAGATGTCGCACACACGTCTTGTCCTTGAGCATGAGTACCTAGCGTAGGAATGAGCCGGGCAGCATAGTCCTCATAAGAATGTAGAACAGGAGGACTATCGACTTCCGCGTGTGCCTCGGGACGAAGGGCGGTCACCCGCGAAGCGACCGGTTCCGAAGGCGTCGAGAGTGTCGTCGACTCACTCCCGGCGGTGCTCAATTTTTTCGATTTGCCTTTGCCTTTCGACGGACAGCCCATTGTCTCAAGGAGATCGCTGTTGCATCATAGACATTAGCGGAATCCCGTGCGTGCCTTGTACGCTTGTTTGGAGAGACCATAGTGGGACCATGGGTTGAGCTGCTGCGCCGGGCCCAAGGATAGATGTGGTGTTTGTCTTCGTCTTGCCGCGTTCTCGGCCTTTGTCGGGGCGGCCACCATCCCCGGCGGCTGCAAGCCTGTCCCCTTCATTGGCAAACACGACCTCGCTAGATTGGTCGGTTGGCATTGCCGTCACGACCACGACCACTTTCGGCCGATGCTGATCTCTGCTCAGGCCTGTCGCAGACGAACGGTGGAGGTTCTTAGCCTCCTTGTTCGTGACAATAATCTGCGCGGCGCCGTTGTACTCAAGGTGTCCTCGACGTGAGTCAAGGCGTTGCCCAACGCCGGACACGACCTCGAGATGAAGTAGTGTTTGACGGCCTTGAAGCCCATTTGAATGTCTGAGACGGATGTCAAGCGTTGGTACTCGGCAATCCAGTCAACACTCTACAGAGTGCCTTGTTCGAATGTCATCAGCTTGTCTATTGCCTTGATTTCCGGTGGCTCTACTTGAAACCGCTTATGCCACGCCGTCTTTAGATCATCCTTTTTTTTTTTTTTTTTTTTTTTCCTTTCCTTTTTTTTTTTTTTTTTTTTTTTTTTTTTTTTTTTTTTTTTTTTTTTTTAAATGAGAACAAGGCTCCAATCTATTCGTGGGGAGCAGCACGTGCTAGGAACCGGGCCCAGCGTCCCATATGGAAAATTACATCGAATTTTGAAAATTTGAGATACCGGGGCCATTACCCGACTTTGGCTAAGAAAAAAATTGAGCTACTTAGGAGAACACGACAAACTTCAGAATTAGACAAGATTCAGAAACCGACTCAGGAGCCCCCCATCAATCCTCTTTACCTCTCTCCGGCAAGACTTACTGCAACAGAGCCACCATCTCCATTGCTGCTGTACCCTATTTCCATCCTACCAGCTAGCCCCTGTATTAGTAGGATGCTTGATATCCCACCATCTACTTCTCCCACTCACCTAAAAGACTCAAACCCCCAATCCATCCCCTGTACCCCACTCCGGCGAGGCTTATTGCAGCAGAGCCACCATCTCCGCTGCTGCTGTACCCTATTCCTGTCCTGCAAGCTAGCCCTCTTGCTAGTAGGACGCGTAATATCCCACCTTCTCCTTCTCCCACTCACCGCAGTCTCTTTAGAAAACGTATGAGCAATACGGAAAACATAGAAATAGACCTCCTAGGTCCTACAAATGACAAACCCTTCCAAAGCACTCCAATATTGTCCTACTCCCTGCCGAGCTCTTCCAGGTCTCACACCCCCACATCTTGCTGGGTTACAGGGCAACACAACTCACCCCAGCTCCGACCACCGTCGTTCCAACAGCAACCCTTAGTTGTCCCGTGGAATGCCCACCCCAAAGCATCCCCAGATCTCTCTACCAGGCCTCACGCTCCTGCGTCAGCAGGTCACACGGCAACACCCCAACATCGGCCAGCGTCGTTCTGGCATCGAACAACCATAGGTCACTGAGACTAACAGCATCGAAACCACCTAAGAAGAATTGCAAGGACCCAGGGTCCAAAAACATTCTTAAGACCACCGATCACCCATCCACGTATGATCAACCCTAAGATCTATTTTTTGAGAGATTTTTTTTTTTTTTTTAAATGAATATAGTCAGCCCTCCTCCTATTTCCTTTCACCCCCTACTCTACTTCATCTCCCGACGAGCCGACCTCCTCCACCACATAGTTCGGGAAAGAAGAATATAGACCAACGACTTCACCAAAAACCCATAGCGATGAAAAACAAACTTCAATTCTTCCTCTCCCTACGACAAGCCGACCTCCTCCACCACATAGTTCGAAGGAGGAGGAAAAAGTAGTTCGCTCCATTGCAAAACAGGCGCAGCACCCTAACCTCCCATCCCCTTACCGCCTTCCGGCACAGACTTACAACAGCTAAGCCATCATCCCAACTGCAGCTGTGCCCTAATCCAATCCCGCCAGCTAGCCCTCCTCACTAGCGGGACGCAGTATTACCCAAAAAAAGATCATCCCAGCTGATCTTGGTATACAAGTTGGCAGCTACCACTCCATACTTGGACAAGAGATTGTCCAACCATGCTTGGCACGCGCCACCCGACCGGGAGTATAAGTACGCATGATGCTTGTCCTCGCTGACGTGGTGTAGCTGCAACTTGAGCTCGAACTTGCGGAATCATGGAATCGGGTCCGTCTTCGTCGAATCGTAGAAGATCTCTTGATTGTCGAACCTTGGGGTCGTCTCGCGTGGTGCCAAACGCTGGTTGGCGGCGGCAGCACCGATCCGTTGCTCCAGTTGTTGCAAGGCGGTTTGCTGTAGTTGTGTGTCCTCCTTGAGGGCGTCAACGTCGATCTCCAATGCATTAAGGCGATCAGAGGTGTTGGAGGAGCTGGCATTGGGGGCGGCGACGGGTCGTTGCTCCAGCTACTGGAGGCGGCCGCTGTGTTGAGCCAGCGCGTCGTCGAGGCAGTGGATGTCCTCCTGCTGTGTAATGCATGTTGCCAGGAGATCCGTGAGATGGGAGAGGAGTAGAGCGATCTTGCTTTCACTCTCTTCCATCTTACCATTCTCGGCCCCGGCCCACCAGTCCGCTGCCATTGTGAGCAAGCTCGCTCTCCGCTGAATATCTTCTCGCGTCGTTGAATTTGTTCTTCATCGGCAGCCTTTGCCGCTGCCTCGTCTTGCTGGTGCTGCTGTTCGATTGCCAACAGACGTACCTTCTCGGCGTCCTCTGCCTTCTTCTTTGCTGCGGCTGCTACTGCATCCAACCGTTGCTTGGCTTTGGTAATCAGAAGCAGCATCTATGCCTGAAAGGCCTCGTCCGTTTCCCCGGGCTTCTGGTCCATGATGGCTGTTTGCGAGCGCGTGAGCATAGACCAGGCCGGGGGCCTGCTGACGTGGCACTCCCTGCTGATGTGTCCTGCTGACGTGGTCTGCTGATGTGGTCTGCTGACGTGGCCTGCTGACGTGGCCTGCTGATGTGGTCTGCTGACGTGGCCTGCTGACGTGGCAACTTACCAATGCTGCCGCAAGGGGGTACCCGGAGACCGATGGAGAAGATAAGACCAGAGGGGGCAACAACGTAGGTGGGGAGGGATGGGTGGGATAAATCGCTCAGATAAGAAGCCACTAATCAACAAAAGAAAAGTTTGAACTTTGCAAAAATTTCGAGAAAACGAAAAAAAATACTCGTGTGCAAGTTGCGAGGCTACGCCCGCTCAGCCCCTTTGGGGCCCTTTTTGCAGCATGTCGGCCGCCCTAAGTGAAGGCAGGCGCGACAGGCCCTCAGGGCCTCGATTTTCAGGGT